GAAACTGCTACCTCTAAAGACTTTGGGCTTTAGGTCTACTGTCCCGTTGTTATTAAAGGGAGAAGCAAGATGGAAGAGGCATTCAAACCAACTCGGGTCAGATTGAAACTTTCTTCTTCAAGGATTCAGGATAGAAAGAGGGTTAAAAATGGAATCACTTCTGTATTTAGTGAGTCTTTGACTGCAGGTGTTCTAACCCACATTTTGAAAACCAAGGTGTCCGAAACTATGAGGAGTACACAAGAAGACTGAATCAAGCTCCCCTCGGGAGCATCTAAATTTAGGTTTTATGGAATACATCATTTTTCCATCCAGCAATCTTTACACCCTGTGTCATTTTTCTTATTAATAAAATGAGAAGCTTGGTCATTTTAGTCAGAGGCTTTATAACTTTAAAATATATTTTACTTTTACTGTCATTTATTCTTTGTACTATAATTCTTTTAACGCTGTGTTTTAAGCTCATACCAGGAGACTGGGCATGAAGAAGTCATCCCTGAAGTTTACAATACTTTCCCCCCTGAACACTTCTCTTTTAAATGATAGTGAGGAGAATATATACATCTTTATTTTAAAGAGTTTAATTAAATAAAAATATGCACAGCTTATGTTTGAATCCAGGACTGTTCAACCCTCCCCCAACGTACACACACACACACTCCTTCCAGACACATGGCCAATAATGATTGAAGTGGCAGTTTTTCAAATGCCCACAAGAGGGCGCGCTTTTTTAATTCCCAAAGACAGAGCCTGGGTGGGTTCTAGCCCAGAAGTTTGGAATTGGAGTGTCCTTGCCCACTTTCTCTTCAATGTGGACAGGTATCATGAACTCTCAAGTTCTCTCTACCAGCCCACACTTGCCCCTTGCAGTGATACCTCATCTACCACCACTAAGACTGGTTTGCTCACAAACCCACATCAATTTGGTTTCTGTTTCCAGTGTTTGTCCTTTTGACATTTTAGAAGAAATCAAATCCAAGTTTGATGCTGAGAAGAAACACCGATATCTTCAGTGAATGGATTTGTCGTCCCCTTTCCCCCTGGGGAAAATGTTCCTTCAAGCAGTTACAAGCAACTCCCAGAGGTAGAGAATGTCTTTCTAGGATCAACAGGAAGGAGGCTCTGAGCAGGTTTGGAAAACCTAGCAGATCCCCTCTCTTTAGCATGTTGAGTTTTGGGGTACATCCCTTTCCTCTAAGCTCAGTGTTATGCTCTTCACCTCAGACATTGGATCACAGTCCAGAAAACCTTCCCCACAAAGACAGAACTAAGAGAGACACCGGTGTCATCAAGTTCTCTGCCCGGTGGCCTTTGATGCCAGAGCTCCTTCCCTCCAAATCTCCATCCAGAACTTCTCTCCCCCCTTCCTCCTCCACCCTGCTCTCTCTTGGCCCTAAAAAGTCCTTCCTTCTGCTTTCAATTCAGATGTGTTCTATTATTTACTTTTCTTCTCTCTTCCTGTCTTCTATTTCCCTCCGCTGTAACATTCACACGCATGCGCCCGTGCATGCGCATGCGTGCGCGCACGCACACCACTGACATTAACGTCAGCAACAATATTAAAGACAAAGATTTGTCAATACGCCCAACAGTGCGACACGACCTTTTAAAGTGACCTCTCTCTAAGGAACACAGAGGGGATGAGGATAGGGCTCCAGCAGAAAGGCCAAGAGACAGGGGATCAGGGACAGGCTCATTTTCTGTGACTCTCAGCCAACCTTTGCTTTCTGAAAAAGAACAAGTTAATATTCTCTCTCTCTCTCTCTCTCTCTCTCTCTCTCTCTCTCTCTCTCTCTCTCTCTTCCCCCCCCCCTCTCTCTCAGAAAGGTGTCAGAAGTCTTCTGAAGCTGTGGTTTTATGCAAATACACTGCTCAAGTAGAAAGCTCGAGGGGAGAGTTATTTATAACCAACAGGCATTACACATGCAAAAGGTGAAACTGTGAATCCGAGTCTCCAGAGTGGATGCTCTCACGATGAGCGCATCTTTGCAGCTAGCTATTTTTGTGGCACACAGTTCCCATATCTGTTAGATTCTTTTTCCAGACAGGCAACTATAGAGGCATTCGCTAACTTCACAATGACCACGGATCTTCCTCTCCAGTGGGATTTTCCTGGCCTGAACTCTCCCTGGGCATCACCTTGCTATCACCTGAGCTTCATCAACAGATGCACTCCTTGCTTTCTCTCCTAAACAGGCACTGTACCCACCATTAAAGGCCCCTTTCACCTTTACATTTACTCTTGGAATCTACAAAGAAAATGGACATTTCCCCAGGAATTATTGACCCCACTTCATTGCTAGCTCACCGTCCCTACTTAACAAAGACCATTCTCCAGCTTGAAATACATGGCAATCACTTCAGGAAGTTACTCCCCACCCCCAATAGGAAACTGATAGTTCCCCTCAGAATGTTACCAGAGCACAGCTGATGACAATTACGATGCACTGAAATTCAATTTGCTTTGACTGTGACACAAACTGGGTCATAAGTTAAAAGTCAATTATCTTTTAAGGGTGATTGGGGTGATAAGCCCAAGTGATTCCCTGTGTTGGCACGGCTAGAGTGCAGTAACTCATGTAATGATATGTTTTCAGTCCTCAAAGCAGCACTTGAGACAAAGCAATAGAGGGTTAGGGTCTGTGCTGTGTATTGCATGGCGTCACGGCACGGCAGAGCACAGCACAGCACAGCACAGCACAGCACAGCACAGCACAGCACAG